TCTCTCTCTCTCTCTCTCTCTTTCTCTCATTCCTACGTTTCCAAGCTACGATAATTTCTCTCTTTCCGCCTTCTTTCGAACCGGGACACGATCCAGCGCGCCCCTGTTTTCGTTTTAATCCCGATGATTTGTTGCCGCTAATCCCGGCGAATCCCGTGACATCGGAAACCCGAATTCCGCAGCGAGAGTTGCCCGGCTCGTTTGTCTTTCCGCCAGTTCGAACAATTAAATCTCATAAGCCAGAAGTCACAGCCCTCGAAAAAATCGGATAACTCTCCGTAGAACTGCTGTTTTTTTCCCCAGACTTCGTTACAGACGATGTGTCATGCCTTTGAAATGTTAAACCTTGGAGAGGCTGAAAATGGAACCAAATGGAATCGCGGAAACAGGAGAAACGACGGGTTCATCCATTCCACCGCGAACTCTGCCCGTAAACTAAGTAATATTAATGGTCTGGACGATGGCAGAAGGCGCGGTATCAATGCGCTAATGTCGGCTTCCTGCCTTTAAAACTACCCCGTCATTCCGGGATAATTCTCGCGTATTGTCGTTCACCATCCAGCCACGCTGGTTTTGCCCGGTTCCTTATCGTCGATCCGCCCGGCCAAACTTACCTCTGAAATACTCTGCCTCCTCCGGTCTTTCTCCTCTTTCGACGAATTCGCCAACGAGCCCACCCTCTCCGCCTACCCGAAGACATCATTAATTACGACGACGGCGACGACAACGTCGACGAGCTTCTATCGTTGGGGACATCTGCTGGAAAATAATATTCATAAAGTTGAGCCCCGACGTTACGAGCGTCGTTTTCGATCCATCTTCACGCGTATTTCACCCCCACTCATCATCCCCGAGGCATTCGAAATTGTATTCGATTTTTCTTATCTTCTCATGGTTGAGAAAAGATGTGAAACGATTCGAGAGAAAAAGAAATATTCTCGTTTCGTGGCATACTTGATCCTCAAATGGAAATATCATAGATGATTATATAGCGATTTATATAGATTAGTAGAGTATTTGACTTTATTTTACATTGTTCGTGATGAGAATTAATAATAGTGTTCAATCAAATTCTAAATTCTAAAACTGTTGTTTAACTTCAAATTGTTTCGAGTTACAATGGACTATATATGTCAGTTAAGAATTGGCTTGACGATATTCAGGGCATGAAATAAATTTCTTCACTCAGTATTCGTAGATACCTGAATTTGCACAAGCATCCGCGATTTTAGTGACGATTGAACCGACAAATTTTCTCCCATTAAGTCTCTAATCTCACGGTAGAGTGAAACTTCTCGCGAGGACGCGTCGATTTCTCCGCTTTAACTTGAAAAGAATCGCGTTCCCTTCGTCGTTCTTCACTGATTCACCCCTCGTTGGCGAATCGCGTCGATGCAAAGGGGGTAAACGAGGATTAAAAAGAAGCGTGAAGAACTCTCGAGTATCGGGCTTCCCCCCCACCCCCCACCCGCCTCCCCCCAAGCAGAGGCGCAGTGGACCGTTTCGCGAGAGCGGAGCGGCGCGACGAAACGGTTAATTCGATTCGACGATCGTTCGCCGCGATAGCGAGCTCGGAGCCGACAACTATCAAGCGGCGCGTTAATTGCGTTCAAACGAACTGTCAGCGCGTCGACACGCACGCGCGCGCATCTGAGCCGCGTCCCGCGTGCAAATACGCGCATTATGATTAATACCGTCACACGCGGCTCGAGGCGTCGTCTGCTTGTCAG